GAGGAAGAGAGAGAAGAGAGAGGGAGGGAGGGAAGAAGAGAGAGAGAAAGAGAGACATCGGTTTGCTGTTTCACTTGTTCATGCATTCATTGGTTGATTCTTGTGTGTGCCCTGACTGGGGATCAAATCCACAACCTTTGTGTGTGGAGATGATGCTCTAACCAACTGAGCTACTCAGCCAGGGCCAATGCCCATGTTCTAAATGTACACAAATACACGTTATATGACATACAGCCTGTATTATGTAGGTCATGTAGTTGGATTATATTAGTAGTTACTATCTCTTGATGGTAGGATACCTGTATAACCTTGTTTTGCTTTAATTTTCTAAATTATAATTAAAAATGCTATTATTATAACTTTTTAATGACTACTAAGGAGCTCGAGCACAGTGTGGGGCAATGAAAAAGGAACTGAGTAACTTCAGGATCCGACACCCAATTAAGACAAAGGCTGTCTTACTCCTAGTGCAGTGATGGCGAACCTATGACACCAGAGATGACACGTGAACTCATTTTTTTGGTTGATTTTTCTTTGTTAAATGGCATTTAAATATATAAAATAAATATCAAAAATATAAGTCTTTGTTTTACTATGGTTGCAAATATCAAAAAATTTCTATATGTGACACGGCCCCAGAGTTAAGTTAGGGTTTTTCAAAATGCTGACACGCCGAGCTCAAAAGGTTCGCCATCACTGTTCTAGTGGCTCCTCTGTGCTGTACACCCCCTACTGGGGATGTGCCCGCAACCCAGGTACATGCCCTTGACTGGAATCAAACCTGGGACCCTTCAGTTGGCAGGCCGACACTCCATCCACTGAGCCAAACCGGACAGGGTGTGTTTTTCTAGTTTTGATATATATTTTTATAGCGGACAGGGTGTGTTTTTCTAGTTTTGATATATATATTTTTATAGCTAAACTAGAGGTCCGGTGCACAAAATTCGTGCACAGGTAGGGTCCTTAGGCCTGGCCAGCGATCAGGGCCGATCAGGGCCTTCCATCTGCCAGTCAGGGCCTTCCTTCGTTTGGCGCCACCCCCTGGTGGTCAGCGCACGTCATAGCGAGCGATCGAACTCTCCTGGTGGAACTCCTGAGGGGGCACTTTGCATATGGGGCTTTTATAGATAGAGAAGATAGACTGCCCCCAACCAGACTATATCCATTTAAAGCTGCAGGAGGCTGCATCCATTTAAGCTGTAGGGACCTCTCCTCAAACCCTTTCCCAGGTAGAGTGTTTCCAAATTTCTGAGCCTCAAGCTGGTGGGTAAAAAAAAAGGGGGGGGGCATATTTTGAGATGCCGCTAATTTGTATTTGTTTTTTGAAGCTCCTCTGGGCTCATTTAGCTCCTTTGTTTCTAGGAACTACGCAGCCTGGTGCAGCATCCTGTCAGAACACACTGCCGGCCTGGGGTTTGGGTTTGTTGCTCTGCTTCCAGAGTGTCGGTTACTGATACTCCCAGAACTCTCTTCCTGCACACACCCTGTTCCTTCTTTTTTGTTAATCCTCATCTGAGGATATTTTTCATTGATTGATTGATTGATTTTTTTTTAGAGAGTGTGGAAGGAAGGGGTGGGGGGTGGAGAGAGAGAAAGAGGCATCAATTGGCTGCCTCCCACACATGCCCGACTCGGGCCCGGGATCAAGCCGCAACCAAGGTAAGTGCCCTTGACCAGGAATCAAACTCATGACCCTTCAGTGCAAGGGCCCATGCTCTAACCACTGAGCACAGCAGCCAGGGTTCCTGTTCCTTCTCACTGGCCATCCAGTCACCTATTCATTCTGTGGTTTGGGGTTTGGCTAACGGCCAGTTTCATTAAGAGAATTTCCATTTTTGTTTTCCATACTGTTTTGGGGTAATTTCTGGGGTGAAAACAGGGAAAAGATGACCCTTTTGTCCTCAAATTGAAAATCCTAAAACAAAGAGGCAGGTGTTATTACCACCCATTTTACAGATGTAAACACTGAGACTGAGGCTAGTCATCCCTGTGAGAAAGTGATCCCGTAGTCCTGGCTCCAGCTCTAACCCAGTTATTTCCCTCATGACCTGAGGCAAATCACTTCTCTCAGGTCTCAGCTTGCCCACGTGTAAAAACCAAGACACTGTGACTTTCAAAATGTCTTAGAAGGAGCCCAAAGTTCCTCTGAAGCTGACAAAGGGAGGGATGGAGGGGAGCGAGGGGTCATGGTGGGGTCTTCCACCAGAGACCTCAGGTTTTTACCGGTATTGACATCACTGACTTATACCTGAGATATATTATTTATTTACTTTAATTGATTTTTTTTGAGAGAGAGAGAGGAAGGAAGAGGGAGAGAGAGAGAGATAGAAACATCGATGCATCAACATTGATGGGGGCTGCCTCCTGCATGCCCTGTTGGGGATCAAGCCCAAAACCCAGGCATGTGCCCTGACCGGGAATCGAACCCGGAACCTCTTCATATCTTGATACATGGGTTGACACTCAAACGCTGAGCTACATTGCCCTGGCTGAGATGTATTTTGTTAAGGGGGTAATTGATGGGGAGAGGAAGAAGAAAAAAAGGAAAATCACTGTATTAATTCAGATGTTGCAAACTCATGGACCATAGGCCCGACCAGCCTGACCAGAGTGGTTCAATGGTTGAATGTGGACCTATGAACCAGGAGGTTCGATTCCCAGTCAGGGCACATGCCCAGGACGATCAATGATTCTCTCTCCATCACTGATGTTTCTATTTCTCGCTCCCTCTCCCTTCCCCTTTGAAATGAAAAAAATAAAAACAAGTTTTAAGAAAAGAAAGTGGGCCCTCACCAGTTTGGCTTAGTGGATAGAGCACTGACCTGTGGACTGAAGGTTCTATCCTAGTCAAAGGCACAGGTTGCAGGCTCGATCCCCAGTGTGGGGTGTGCAGGAGGCAGCAGATCAATTATTCTCTCATCATTATTGAGTTTTCTATCTCTCTCTCTCCATCTCTGAAATCAATAAAAATATATTTTAAAAAAGTAGCCTGATCACATATTTCATTTAATCCACAAAGTATGTTTTTTCTTTTTTTAAAATTTGTGGATTTGAGAGAGAGAGAGAGAGAGAGAGAGACATCAATTTATTGTTCCACTTATTTATGCATTCATTGGTTGATTCTTGTATGTGCCCTGACCAGGGATTGATTGATGTTTCTATCTCTCTCTCCCTCTCCCTTCCTCCCTGAAATCAATAAAAATATATTAAGAAAACAAACAAACATCAATGATGATAGAGAATCATTGATCGGCTGCCTCCTGCACACCCCCTACTGGGGATGGAGCCCACAACCAGGCATGTGTCCTTGACCGGAATCCAACCTGGGACCCTTCACTCTGCAGGCCGATGCTCTATCCACTGAGCCACACCAGCTAGGGCAACAGTTTATCCTTGTATTATTTCCCATATGTATTATTTTTTCCTTAGGAGCAACTGTATACCGACTCTTGCCCGACCCTGCACTGGTGCTCAGAGGTATGCATTTCTGTTGGGGGGATGGCCCGGAGGAGAACTGCTGGGCGACCAGTAAGTCAGCACAGACTTCCGCTCTGGTGGCGCTGGCAGATCCCAGGTGACGGCGCCCACCTACCTTCACTAACTACTGGGCATTCCACTCGCCTGCCTTCCACCCGCGCTATTGCCCGACAGGGCCCCGAAGGGATTGGGGTTTGTGACTCCCAAGCCTTCGACAGCTCCTTTGAACCCCTAACCCTTCTCTCCTTTTCTGAAAAGAGTGAAGAGTGAATGGCTGTTCGCCAGGGTGCCCGCTTCTCCCTCTTTGCAGTTCTTGGCTGGGAATCCTTTATTTCAATATTCACGTCTTCCTCGGGGCTGAGACCTGGAGGTGGGGCAGGAGTCAGCCAGACCTGGAGGGGGTGGGAGTGGGAGGGGAGGACTGGGGAACATTCCAGGCTGCGGGGAGGCCAGGTCACATTTAAGTTTTCTGGAGGCCCAAGGGAGAAAGAAGAAGAGGTGTCCGCACCGTCTGCTGGGGGGCTCTCCGCGGGGATGGGGGGTGGGCTGCGGGCGTCGCAGGTCCA